TTTAAACGCCTCTTTGTTGGCCTTCTTCTCCAGTCGTCGCTCTTTTCGGTATTCCTTGAGTTCACACTTTCGTTGTCTCCTCTGTTCGGGCGTCTCATCGGGTGGTCTGACAGACAATTCACTCAATCGAGAAACACCGGAGCGGACGGACTTCGAGCCCGGTTTCAGTGAATCGCTTTCGATGTCATTAATGGCGTTGAGTTGCGCCAACTTTCTGGCCGTGAGTCCCGGCCTTTCGAGCACTCCTATGGGAAGACCTGTTCTCTCATTAATGCGAACTCTTTGCGGATATTTAATGCTCTTTTCGGTGATAAGTTTGGGTCGATTATAGAGATTAGAATAAGTGCTGATAATTGACTCGCAATCCAAGCCATCGTTTGCGCGATTTTTGCTGTTCTCGAAGATCTCCACTTCAGTCAACGCTTCCTTCTCTTTGGATTGGTTTCGATGCTTATCATAGAAATCGTGAAATTCTTTTGAATCCATTTTCTCATACATTTGTTTCTCATTCTTCATTCGTTGGAACTCTTGGACCAAATCATTCATTAATTCACTATTCTTTAGATCGATTGAGCCCTCGATGCCATCGAAATCAAGTGATCCGATCTCACATTCGTTCGCGTATTCCGTTTCATACAATGTCTCAAACCTTTGATCCAAAAGAGTCAGCCCTTCGTTCCGTCGCATAACCGAAGAACTCATCGAATAGTTTGTGAAATGAGATTTCGTTTCTTCATCTGAGAAGCGGTCATCGGATCCATCGGATTCGTCATCGGATTCGTTATCCGATTCACAAATAGTGGACTCGTCATCGCTTTCGTCCTCAACATCTTCCCAGTTGTCGTCGTCGTCGTCATCGTTGGTCTTATTCTTGTCGTCCGATTCTTCCGCTTGTAATACAAAGTCGTCGTCCAATTGATTGTTGGGGTCATCGAAGTCGAAGTCCTCGTCCATAGCGGCCACCACTTCGGGGTCCCAATCGGGTTGAGGGCCGACCGGAAGCACCGCTTTGTTCAGTAAACCCTCTTTCTCTTCGACGGCCGACGCGAACAGTGAAGACGGGAATTGCATCACTTGTTTCACTTGTTTCTTGGGATCCGATTTGGTTTTCTCAGTCTTCTCTTCGATTGGCTGCCATTCGGAGAGCGGTTCCACATCTCGTAAGTGCTGTAAATAGTCGTAATTGTCGTCATAATAGACGCCATACTTCTTCTGCTCGTCTTTGCGGTCCTTGTCTTCGTTGATGTCGAGGAATACCATCTGCGGTGCGCTCTCGTCGGCGGCCAACGGATCCCTTTGGCTTCTGTGCACTAATTTAAACTTTACCGAAGACTTCTTGTCGAAGATCTTCTTTCGATTCATGATTTGATCCGCAAAAGTGATCGACAATTGAGTCGATGTGTCGCTGAAGAAGAAGTAGTGATCAGAAAANGGCGGCCAACGGATCCCTTTGGCTTCTGTGCACTAATTTAAACTTTACCGAAGACTTCTTGTCGAAGATCTTCTTTCGATTCATGATTTGATCCGCAAAAGTGATCGACAATTGAGTCGATGTGTCGCTGAAGAAGAAGTAGTGATCAGAAAAATATGACAAAAACAGTAAATAAAACGTGACTTTCAATGGCTTTTAAATACTGTATTGAAAACAGCATTCAATGCTTTGAAAGCACAAAATGTTTGGCATTTTTATTGCATTTACACCAATAGAGGGCAACACATGTCTCGCTATGCATTGAAATGCAATTTATGATTATTTTACAGTTTTTGTTTCGTAACCAAAGGGTTTGGATATAAAAAGCTTTCAGTCATTTGAACAGTTATTTTCAAAGCAATTTTTGTCTAAAAATAAGTTTTTAATTTCAATTTACAAAACTATTTGTTCAGTCGTTATGTTTTGTATGTGTTTTTCTGCGCGCATAAG